ACCGCAATAAAATCTTTAATTTGTTAATAAATATTAGTTTTAATGTTTTTTTTTTTTTTTTTTGTATTTTCATATTTATAAATATAAACTATCAAGTTAAATAGTAGAAAACAATTGGAAATGATTTATACACATATAATTGTTTTGTTTTAATTTTCTAAAATGTAAAAAAATTGTGTTTACTATTAATGTTAAACCAGCTTAACATTAAAACAGTAAAACTCAGATTTTACATCTAGCACTTCCTGCCTAAATAAAACCGTTAACCGTTAATTTTTTTTTTAGGACAAAATTAGGTCAATAGAATGGGAACCAGTAGATAGCTTTTTTTTTTTGGGACTCCCTAGTGCTGAGTTTCTCCTCATTTAACCTTGGGTGCTTCTGATTACGGTATGATCTCTCTAAAAATAGTATCTCGTTCTTCCTCATCATCATAATTCCCCTATCATTATACCTCTTAAAACTACCTAAAAGCTGACTGGGACTCTTTCTGTGATTTTCTTTGTGATAGCCCTTGGGTTGAAATCTTTGGACTACCTGTTAACAAATGTGCTTCTAACCTTTTAATTTGGATTCATGCTGTCAACGAATCTTTTATTCATTCACGACAAATCCAATTCAAGCCTCACCCCTCTCCATGGTTTTTATCGCATTGTGCTGCTGCAATTTCCAGTTGTAAGCATTACTTTCATATCTATCGCTATAAGAATTCTCCAGAAAACAGACGTTTGTTTACTATTGTTAGAAACCATTGAAAAAGGTTTATGTCTAATGCCAAAACCCGCTATTCCCAGGTCACGAAATCTCATCTTTTATTTTAAAAATTAGGCTCTATAGACTTCTGGAGTATCTTCAACAGTGTCTGTAAAAGGGCAAACCTGTTATTCTACCTCTCTTGCATGGTTCAGATTTTGTTACCTCACTTAAAGAAAAAGCTGAATTGTTTGTTAATAACTTTTAATCAATTTCATCTCTTGATTTCACTAATCACATCCTACCTGATATAGCCAACAAACAAGGTGATCCATTGTCTGACATTTGTATCACTCCAACTTCTGTATCTAAAGTGATTTCTTGCTTAGACCCTTCTACAGCTGGTGGTTCGGAAAACATATCTGTTATAGTTATGCAGAAGTGTTCTCCTATACTTTCAAAACTATTTACCTAATGCTTATCAGAGTCTTGTTTTCCAGCCTGCTTGAAAGCTGCAATTGTTATCCCGATTTTCAAAAACTCTCGAGAGTAATCTGACTCGTCTAACTACCGTCCCATTAGTCTTCTTCCTATCTTAAGCAAGGTTTTTGAGTCTTTACTTAATAAACACTTAATTTCTCACCTTGAATCTAATAAGCTATTTTCAAATCATCAATATGGATTTTGACCTTCTTGTTTTACTGCTGATTTATTAACAATAATAACTGATAGGTTTTATTTAACAGCACTCTTCTTCATTTCTAGTAACTTCAGGGGTTTCTTAAAGTTCTTGCTTGATCCTATACTTTTCTTAATTTATATTAACAATCTCTCAGAAACTCTCACATCTAGGTAATTGATGATACTACTATTTATTCTTGTCTTGAAAATAAGCCAACACTCTCTGATTGTTTAGAGGGAGCATTTGAGCTTGAAAAAGATCTCACTTCTGTTACAGCATGGGCTATCAGTGGCTAGTGAACTTAAAATAAAACTCAATTTTTTTCTGGTAATTGTTATTATAACAATTGAAATGTACTTTTGATATTTTGCATCCCAATGCTTTCATAAAGGTTTGCTAAGCTTCTTTGTTTAGAGTCCACGGTGATAGCTTAGTAATATGACGTCCGGGGAGGTTTCTACAGGCTTGCTTTCTTACTCCCAAAACATTTAACATTTTATTTTTCTACTCTGACTTGTTTAAATCTAAAGTAATTTTTGATACTACTATGCCTAAAAACTAAACACTACAAGTTTAGTTTTCTCAATGCAATAATCAAATCAAAATAAAAAACAAAGACTTTATTCTTTTCAACTTGAACAGTTTATAAGAAAACAGTTTTATATATCTCAATCATGCGTATTTAATAATTCTTGTTTTTTAAATAACTAGTAACTTTTCTTCATCTTTGGTAAAAGTTGAGCAATACTCCTTCTCCTCTCCAATTTCAATGACATCAAGTTGAGCAATACTCCTTCTCCTCTCCAATTTCAATGACATCAAGTTGAGCAATACTCCTTCTCCTCTCCAATTTCAATGACATCAAGTTGAGAAATACTCCTTCTCCTCTCCAATTTCAATGACATCAAGTCGAGCAATACTCCTTCTCCTCTCCAATTTCAATGACATCAAGTTGAGCAATACTCCTTCTCCTCTCCAATTTCAATGACATCAAGTTGTTTATTAACTGTTCTTAGATCAGTTATTAGTGGAAATTTTCCTGAATTAATTGCGGCCCAATCATGTTTATGGCTGATTCTATATCACTCAACTGCTTCCTTTAACTGCTTATTTTTTTATCTCTATGACATCTCTTTTAACATCGCATCTTGATTTTTTATTTGGTTTAACTCTACAATTAAAAGACTTTCCCATTTCTTATTAATGCACAACTACAAAGGAATATCAAAACACACCTGTGTACTCGCTCTTTACTTCAGTAAACACACGTTAATTTTCAAAGCAAACAAAGAAAACTGACGATAATAACGCCGATAAGAAATTGAATAAAAATAACGTTTTTTAAATATAACGTTTCATTCACCTCGCATTCTGAGGTTCCTTAATCTAGCAATTTGTTGTGGTAAAAAGGTATATTAAAAAAAAATACTATAAAAGTATATAATAAAAATATGAATAAGTGTATAATAAGTGAACCAAATATTTAAAAATATGCTCAGCAGGGAAAATAATGCTTTTATGCAGAAATTTATGATTTTCTAACCAAAATAGGAAGCATTACAACCTACTATTTAATCTGACATTCTGAGGTCCCTATTGAAAAAAAGTATATCCAAAATATTTATCTAAAGACATGAAAATGGTTCAACCAAAAAAATTTAACTTTTTTGGCATTCTAAAAGGAGTCAACTCTTAAAAGTAAAAACTAAGTTTGAAAAGACTGCAAAAGCTTTTGACACTTCAATTTTGTCAAAAACGTTCGCTATCTTTTTATTCTATTTCTTAGATTGGCTATCAAGTATTAATTAAGGATACTTTAATATCTCGATGTTTTCTATATTATGATGCATTTTTATTACTATCTTTTTATCAAGAGTTTTAAAGATATAAATTTTAAGATATAAAATTTTAAAGATATCAATTGTTGAAATGACATCATTCTTAACAGTCATTTCAAAATTTCATCAATTATATGACCATTTATTTTAGTATTATTAATATTATTATTAATAATATTTTTATTATATATTAAATTTTTATGTAATGAAAGAAAAATATACATTTTACTGTTGTTAAATTACATCAAAAAATTTTTCTCTACGGTTTTATACTTGTTGCTTTTTTGTGCTATTTTCATTTTTCATGTGAAAAAACTGATACTTGTTGAAACTCTAATTTCATCTACAAAACCAGAGCTATATTAAAAACATTAACAAGTAAAACATTTCGTCCCAGCTGATATTATTATCAGATACTGTTGGTTTTTTGGTTGTTTTATAATACTAGTTTTAAGACCTGCGTAAGGTGGGAGGGGGGGGGGAGTCATCAATGAATTTTTCTTTTATTTAGTCGGCAAATTTGACCTTTATGACAAGTCAGTCGGCAAATGTAGACCAGTCAATTGGCAAATTTACAAAAAGAGATATTTGCAAATAAAAACACGCAACACAACAACACAAAAATCTGCGTTAGCCACCATCGACATAAAATAGATCTGCCGTTTTAAAAATAAGTTATAAACAAAAACTTTTAAGTTAAAGACGCTGGTAACAACAATCCAGTAAAAAAAAATTTCAAAAAATAAATTCAGCATCGAGAGAAATTCGTATTTATTGATGTCTATAAAATAATAATTTACATCCTCTCATAAAAAAGTAAAAGTTCCAGGTAACAAAAGGAAAACTGTTCAAACTAAAATAAGTAAAATATATTTATTACTTAATTTTTAACAAATATTTTAAAATTTTTCTCTAACACTCTGGAAAGTTTACTGTGTAATGTCATTTGAAAATTTTATTGACTATGGGGCCTCGTGGCCCAAGTTGGAATATTTTAATTTATAAGTAACTTTCTTTTTTAATTTTTTGTACTTAAGTGTAATCACCGAGTTCATATAAACGTATATACGTATTATGTGTATATGAACTTGATGATTATACTTAAGTACAAAAAATTCAAAAAGAAAGTTACTTATAAACGAAAATATTCCAACTCTTTCTTACAATTCTGTTATACAGTTTTATAACTCTATTATACAGAATTGGACTACTATACTGACTAATAAAATTGACAATTATATGAAAATAATTACATATAATAGTCAATTTTATTCTTCAGTATTGTAGTCCGATTCTGTATAATAGTCAATTTACAAAAGAATATTTCTAAAGGTCTTAATGGGGTGGGGGTGGGGGCTACTATATATAGCCCCCTTCCCGACCCTAAAAACCCGCCACTGGATAACTAACATATTTTGCTTACGAAACACTTTAACTACCAACTAATAAAGCCTATTCAGCTGTATTATGCATCAACCACTTGAAAATTGTGGATATAAAGAAAACTTTGGTTTATATTACGGATAAAAAGCTCTGATTTTGGAATGAAATAACGTTATGGCCTGTAACTACTGTGTCCATTCAAGAAGATCAACCAACTAAATAAATAACGTTCTTTAGTTGTACTGTGCATTTTATTATGATAATAAAACAGCATTATTTACTTAGGGTTGCCTAAATAAAGCACTTTTAAAGGTTTTTTTTTTTTTTAACTTTGAAACCACATTTATTGTAAAAAGGGATCATGCCCATGTTTAAAATATGTCCTCCACTCATAACAAAATACGTTAAAATAATAATGTATATATCTTTCAGACCACTACTAACTATTGCAATAGTTAGTAGGGGTAGCGACTTCTTTATTGTAAGATACAAATTGAGTTATACCTTACAATAAAGTATTGTTCTTTATTACAATATTAAGACACAAATAAATAAAAGAAAAATTACAAAATGAGGTATCGTTAAAATATAAAGAATAAGAAATAATGTAACTCCTGAAATATATGAACAATAATCTCTATAAATTTCAAAATAAATATCACGTCTAAAATGACAAAAATTAAAAAATAAACTGCGGATAAACATGTCCATATAAAAAATAAATACATCGTCTTGCACCCACTCAATCTCATTTGTCGGATATATCCAGTGAAATCTTATTATTCGAATACGATTAAAATCTTATTTATCGAACAATTTAAGTCATTAAACTTCTAAAACAAAAACAAGTTAAAACAAAATACAAGTTGACAACTGACCAATAATTATTTTATTAGGTCTAACCTTTTACTTAATAAACATAAAAAAAAATTAAAATTAGTTTTTTATCTATATTTATTCGAAGTTGACTAAAATGATTACGAGTGGGTTAATATTTTCAGCTAGCACTGTTTTACACACACACACGCGCGCGCACACATATATATTTAGGTAATCTAATGGCATAATGGTCTTATGGTATTTATAGTCACATGTGGCTACAACTTAAGTGGTATAATTATCATAGCACACATGGCCCAACATTACGCTACCCATAATACGAGAGTGACTATCATTTAATGACACGTGACCCACATTAAATTTTCTTGTCGAGATTATAATAAAAGTGAAAACAAAAGAATACGGTAAATTAATTAAAGATAATAATATTTAATAAAAAAATGCATCGTTTTGATTTATTTATCTTGTTTTATCCACAAAAAAAGCAATATGACATTTTTAGGGATTAAAATCTAAATTTTGTTAAGAATATAACAAAATGCTGTTCAAAAGTTAACATGTTTAACTGTTTTACTACCCCGGTTTTTTTTTTAAGAGTTTCTCTCAAACTCTAACAACCATTTCTTTACGTCATTTTTAAATCCACCAGCATATTTTCCAATATCACCATTCGATTTTATCACACGATGGCAAGGAATAATAATGCTTATTGGATTATTTGACATAGCAGAACCAACTGCTCGAACAGCTCCTACAAATATGTATGCCAAGTAAACAAAATATTTATTTGAAAACAAAAAAATTAGTTAGAAAAATGCAAAGAACAAACTTATACCTTGATTTCCAATTAACTCTGCAAGTTTTTTATAACTTACAGTTTCACCGGCTTGAATTTCTGAGGCTAAATGTAACCAAGCTTTTTTTCTGAAATCGCCTGTCAAAGAAAAAATTAACTATAAAAAGATGAAAATTTAAGCTTTGACCACATTTTAAAAACACTTGAGTGTTTTTTCAAATGTGTTTAAAAAAACATAATAAAAAAGCCTTCAAATAAACGATAATATAACGTCTAAAACAATGAAAAATTATTTTATATAACTTTTTAAAACTACACTGCATATAATTGGTATGCAAAGACTTGAAGTAGCTTTCGGATGTTTAAAATAAACAGTAAACCAATTCAAAACCTCTTTAACAAGTGCTGATAGATCCATGATGCATCCTTGTACTAGAGAAACCTTTACGCTAAAAAAAGAAAAAAAAAGAAGCTATAACTTCATTAAAAATAAAATTACTGAATACTTTTATTTGATTAATAAATATTTATTTAAAACTCCTAAACTTTTTTTAAATGTTTGATGGACAACGCACAAAGTTATTTGGCAGATATAAATCGCTATTATTATTTCATCACACAACACGCGTATCTTTGTACTTAAAATTTTTTTTAAGCATAAAAAACCTCATGATAAAAGCTAGATGATTAAAAAGCTAAAATGATTGTTTTAGTTTATAGGTAGTTTCTTAATGTAGTGCGTCAATGATTAATTTGATTGTTTTTTCTTTTTATAAATCATTTTTCTAAAAGTATGTACTGCTTGAAAAATATTTGTTGCAAATATTATTTGTCGACAAGTTTTCTTATTTTAAAGGTTAATTTTATTCATTGAAAATATAATATTTTGTTGTTAAATTCTGGGAAGCATCCCGCATTTTTTGGTGTTTGAGAAGCTAACCACCAGAAGCTAACTTCTGGACATAGGGCAAACATCAAAAACTTATATGTTTACAATTATGTCAAATAAAAATACTTTGAAAAAAGTTACGTTGATTGGAGCCTTTAAACAAAAAAGCCCGTAAACCCCCCCCCCGCCCTAACAACAACAAGCAAATAAAATATATTTTTTACTATTCTTAATTTAATACATCTTACTAACTTAAATTTCTATCATATTGTGCGACGGGGGCTCTAATTGCGGTGGTAAAAATTTGACGATTCGATAAAAAGCTTTTTAAATATTTGTAAAAACTTAGGATTTATTTATAGTAACGATCATTTCACAATCACATTGTGAAATGATCGTGACGATATCATTTAATTCATCACAATGGGAAGAGATAACTGTGCAGTCATTCGAATAGCCATTATAAACTTTTTAAGTGGAAAAAACAAGAATGTAATGTTCATGAAGGTTTGAAAAAAGAAGAATGTGGTTCTTATTATCCTTTATTGTTTCCTAAGTTCTTCAAGAAATTGGATGGCATTAAAAGAGGGGGTGGGAATTTTAGTTCAGATCTAATAAACAGGGTTTTAAACCTAATAAAAAATGTGAGGTGGGGGAGGGTGAGAAGGAGGGGGAGGGAGTATTTTTTTTCTTCTAAACTATATTTATCTTGGTCAGCTTGTGAAAACTTCCGATCTGACGCTATGTTACAAAATAAGTATTTTTTATAAAAAATTTCAATTTATCAATCCAAACTATGGCCGTCTATACTATACAGGAATAAATAGTAAACACGTAAATTGGAGCCTGGGGCTGGGGGCCAAAAAAAAACAACAACTAAAAAAAAGTTAAGTGTAGCATGAACATTTGCTTGTAAAAAAGCGTTTCCATTTAGTGAGAGTGAACTATAACTAATCTATTTATTTTACTTAAAAAATAGAACCTATTTATTCATAACAAGCTTACTACAAAGATATAAAAACATTCCTTAGCTATAAAACTTTGTCTATATAAACAAAACTTTCCTTAGGTATAAGATGCAAAATCTTTCACAAAATCACACAATTAGGCCCAAAAAAAAATATTATATAGGATAATTTTAAAATGCTTAAATTTCAAAAAATCCGTAAATTAAATATATTTAGTAACAATAAAATTTGTAACAAAGTTTTTAAAATATTTCAGATAGATTAAAATACTGAACTTTTTACCAAAATTACTTAACAAACAGAAAATATAAGTAACATTAGAGTTGTCATAAGTAAAATAAACACATACAATAGGTTTACTTTGAAAGCTTGGAAATCTTTTGTTGTAACTCTTTAGATGACCTTGGTGCATATAAATAAACATAGTTTAAAAAAAAAAATGTTTGAATATGAAATAGCATGCTTCTTTTCCGTATTAAAGTTAAAAGACTCAGATATTAACATTAAAATATTGCAGAGTGACTTTCAGCAGATTTTAACAACTTCATGAAACAAAATATAAGAAAATAAGGTCCACAAACATTGTCATTTGGTATTTTCAAAGCTCCACGATAAACCTTAGCAGTATAATTGTTGAATTTTTCATAATAAAATTTAGCTTCATCTTACTCTTCAACTTCATTTCTCACAATATATCCAGTTATATATACTAATCCTGCTTTTGTATTTATTTGCACTCTAACTCAGGCAAATTGTCAAATATATCAATAGCATTACTGCTAAGAAAGTATCCACATTTCTGGCAGTTATGTCCACTTTCTGCATATAAAAAATCAATGCCTTTACCAATATGGAGACTTAGTTTTGTTTGTTGAATTCTTACTTTTTTAATGACTTGCTGCACATCGATAAAATCTCTCCAGATCCTTGTCAGAGTTTACCAAACATTTTTTCGTGGGTCAGTTGTAAATTTCCTAGTATTACATAATTAAAAGAATTCTTTAACAAAAATTTTGTAAGGGCTACTAAACCACGACACATATGAACTAAGGCTGCACCTGTATCTCTGGTGAACTGATATTGTCTGCTGCCTTGTTTGCTAGTCATTTGTGTAAAAAAGATTGTCTGGCATCTTCTAAAGTTAATATAACTGTTCTATATGGATCTCTATATCGAATATCAGCATACACTCCTTTTCCAGACCTTCACAAATATTTCAATAAAAGTTATGGTGTCATCTGCCTCTTTTATATTAATGTTAGATTTTAAAGCAGTTACAGTTTCATCATAAAAGACTTGTAGGCAACTTTTGTCTTTCAATAGGTTTTGGTGCAACAGACGCACTTGTAAGTTGAGAAAAATTTACAATTTTCAAGTCCAAACAAACTTAAGATATTAGACCAACATGCATATTTAGTTTCCCCATTTTGTTCATAACATAACTTTTGGCTTTTTTTGTAATCCAGTTGATACCAACAGATTTAAGTAGATGCACTAAGTCATATAACAAAAACATATTGTCTTTGGTCAACAATGGATCAACACATTTAAACATTTTAAATTGTGCTTGATTTACATGAGTATCATCAGATATTATGGCAAGCGGTATTCCTCCAGCACTCTTTATTCCCTCTAAAATAAATTGAATTTGTTTAAACAGAAATTTAGAAGCAAGCTCACAAACAGGGAAAATTCTGCAAAGATATTGCGGTCCTCCATAAAATGAAACTAACATAAAACTTATAACAGTCATTGCTAAAAAGCCTGGTTTAATTACTGCTTTTCCAAAAATTGAGTCAGCATGGCAAGTAAGAGATGATTTGATGTATACTTAGTCAATCAATAGCAAACACATTTTTTGCATTTCATTTTCAAGTTTTGAAAAATTTAGTATAAAAACTCTGTATCATATTTACAGAATCCAGTTTTAAAGTTAGCTTTGTTAAAAGAGAAATACTTGGTAGTACATAATCTTCCCTTAACCTTCCATATAATGATGTTGAAATTGCAAAGTATCCAAATGCTCGTACAATAGTTTCTGTGGTGTATTTTTTTTTTCCAACTGTAATAGAAGTCATATAATGGATATGTTGCAAAAGATTTTATATTTTATTGGATTTTGTTTTTTTAAAATTAATAGCTTCTTGTTTTTTTAAAATTAATAGCTTCTTGTAATTTTTAACAAGAATTATGAAAACCCTGCTTTCAGATAGAGATCTAATTTTATCCCACAAAAGTTTCGCTCAAAAGTAAGATCATTCTTGATATTAAGCATAAATTTGATAATTAAAGAGTTTTCTTTTAAGTCTGTTGACTGAATGATCAGCAACTGTTCACCAGCTAAATACCAATTTACAATTGTATATAATTGACCCAAAATCAATTTCTTTATTTTGTAACTTCTGATGTAATGAGCTAAAGGATGTAATTTTATCAGCAGCTAAAAATATATTAAATTCGCCAGGCATGTTCCAAACTAATGAAGATGCTTAAAAAGCTGTTCTTAATGGCAGTGGAAGAGTAGGTATTAAACTAGGTTTGATACATGTAAAAACTGATTGAGGATCACAAGGCCTTTTATGGCCAAATTTGGTTACTGTTGGATATCCAGATGGAAAGTGTATTTCGCAAACAACTATATCTAGACTGTCAGGTATATTGTCTTATGGTATAGCATTCACCCAACAAGTATATTATTCTTTTTCACGAGGAAGCTGAAATTTTTTCATTTTATATTCTTTATTGTAATTACAGTTCGTCACAGCAACATTTTTTCGTCACGCAACATTTTTAAGGCATTTTTTGTATCTATAACCAGATAATAGTTGTACTTTAATTAAAAATTAGTAAAAATGTTGCTTTGCTATTGTTAAACAAAATAACTTCAGAATATTGTTAAACCCAGACCTCTATATATGCATTTATAAGGCCTGTTAGTACAACGGCTATGATACAAACTAATCTTTTTATACAAATCATGCACAAAATTATTTAATTCTAGTGTGGCTTGCGGTCAAATGCGTATTTTCTACCAGCTGTTTTACCATAATTTCAATAGGATTTAATATGCTGATATGAGTTTTATACCTTGGTGAGAGATTAATCAAAGGCCCATTTTTGACAAACCGAGATTTATTAGACCAGGTGAATAAAAAAAGCAATTACTTTAACTAAAGTTAAGCAATTTACTCCAAAATTGCTATGTAAATGCTGAGCTTTACGTGAACAAAAATTTGAGCAAAATTGCTGAAGTTTTTATTCCTGTATAGCTGACCAATTACTCCGAAAATGCTGAGTAAAAGCAATTGCTTTTTACCTGGCCTAATAGGTCAATAATTTTTAAAGCCTATTTACACTGAAAACTTTTGTATTATGGGTAACTGAAATAATTATTTACAAATTTTTAAGTCCAATTTTGACTGATTTTGTTTTGAGGAAGGAAGGGGATCATAATAAGTTTTGGGTGGATGGGAATTTTTTCCCACCAATATTAATAAATACCCCCCCCCCCCCCCACTTGAAAGTATATGCCATACATGTTCAGTGACAAGATCGGATTTTTGCATTATCTTTTTCCATAATTAACCACAGT